CTCGATTATATGACGAACTTCCATCTCCACCTTTTCTAGACGACATCTGTAGAGCGTGGCCTCCATTTTGGCGAAAAATTGTGGTCTGTGACCTCGCAGGTCGGCAAAGGATTCGGGAAGGTCGTTAGACTTAATCAACTGGATAATGCTCCCCAAAATTTTTCGGATTTTTCTTTGTATCTCTTCTTCTGAAGGGAAGTTAGGGGCCAGCCTAATGCGTCTTCTCATATATCTAATAGTATCTATCAATCGTTGTTCTTCTTCTTGTCGTTTTTTGGTAAACTCGTCAGTGGATTGTCTCGTTGACATTCTTCTGAAATATAATGCACAGAGATTCATGTTATATGCACTGAGTCGATGCACAGAAATATAATGCACTAAATTTCGATAACTCATGATATTTGCTCTATCCATTTTTACGTTAGTGAGATTATTCCCGTTCACTACCATAAAAATTGTCAGCGTGAGAGCCATTTTCATGTAAAGTGATAGTGGCCATGTTGGAGCGGTTTTTGTTGTTTTGAAGCTATGCGCATTGCTATATACTTCCGTATTCTGACTAGGCGGTTTCCTAGGACGTAAATTATAGTTAGGATGTAGTATTATGCGTTTCTTTGATGACTGTTGCTCATTTTTCCGACTTTCTGAGGGATCTGTATTCGAGTTGCTGTTGTTTTCTTGAATTTCTAGAGGTACTAGCTGGTTGATAGATCTTCTCAGTATTTTTCCATTACACCTAATCTCTGCTTCTCTTACTTCTCCATCTTGACTTCTTATCAGCTTCGTGATACGAGCAAGCTTCCAGTGATTCCTTTTCATCAGAGCATCTACTAGAAGCACAACTTCTCCTTCTTCTGCTTTTTTGATGCTCCCTCGTTTTTTGTTGATACTTTGACGATGTTGTTCTCGGAGAGCTGTTAGATACTGCGTTTTCCATCTTTCCCAAAATCGTTCCGTTACGTCGTAAGAGGACTGCAACGCTTTTTGGGCTTGTGCTCTTGTTTCAAGTTGTAAGGCCTCCGATGGAGGGAGGAAAGTCGGGTCTTCGCGTTCCTCCTCGCTGATCTTGAGAGACATGTCGATGTCTATTTCTTGTTGAATGAAATCGATGGGTCGGATGGGGCGTAAAACGTCATCAAATTGACTTTCTTGGTATGTGAGAGGTCTGCTATTGATGCAACTTTCTACCTCTATGAGAAAGGTTTGTAATTGTTCCTTGGTGAGTATCCTTTTCCCTATCGCTTTATACAGCGCTTGCTTGACGCTCGATGAGGCGCTCGTAGAAACCCCCTTTCCAAGGTGAATGTGGTGCGATATTTTGATGATTTCCATTCGATCAACTGGTTACTCATTTCTTGGTGTATTTCTTCATTAGTTGAGTTGTTCGAATCACTTTTAAGAGCATCATTTATGATTTGACTTCCAAGAATGAATGTAGGGGCGTTATCGCATATCACTAACTGTGGTTTTCCTCGTCGCGCTGCGAAGCGGCGGAATGCGTTTAGGAACTTTTCCGTTGTGCCATCAGATACGACTTCCAAGTGAACTAGTCTTGTTGCTGAACACGTGAAAATGCACCCATAAACTTCCGTGTGCTCCATAGTTTCTCCGTAAACGGGAATAGGGCCGAAGTAGTCGAGTCCCGTATGTTGAAATGGTCGTGATTTCGTAACGCGGTGTTTTGGAAGATCTGCCATGTCCGGATACTTGTAGGGCAAATTGTTCATTCTTTGACAGGGTACACATGATTTGATGAACTTTTTCACTTGTTCCCGAAGGCGTGGGATCCAATACTGTTGTCTTACTTCAGCTATTGTGTGGCCCACATTTTTATGATAGTTTCCATGCGCTTCTTTAATTATGAGACGAGCTAATTCTGTGTGGGGCAGAACGAGAATAGGGTTTTTCGTTTCTTCATCCAAGTCAGATTTGTTGAGACGCCCATGTGCTCTAAGTAAGTGGTCTTTGTCCTCCATTAAGTTGAGGTTCCTCAACAAGTCCTTTTTATCTTGTTGTCGTAAATGAACTTTTTGGTGGTTTCTGACCAGTGCATCATGAGATTGTTTAATATCGGTAGCGGTGAGATACTTCTCTTGTGGTCGTGCGTGGAGGTAAGTCAGATGTTCTTGTAGTTTGTTTCTTAGCGGGTCCCTTAAATGAGCTATGGTGTTTCGGAGGAACATTATGGCATATGCCAGGACTCTCAAGGCTTTCCTTTTACAGCTGTATCGAGATAAGTCCATTAGGTCCTTAATTTTTTCTGTCCGTGTTGTTAATGCATTCATGAAGGTTTTTTCCAATTCCTTTTCTTCGTGGTTGTTATCTTGTGGTGTAATATTGAACAGTGATGAACCAATGCTGCTTTCAGTTATGTTACAGATTGAGTAGGCTTTCCACCATATGTGAGAACCAAGCTCCTCTGCTGATGCTCCTCGTGTTCCTATGTCCGCGGGGTTTTGTTTCGTGTCGATGTAGCCGAACTGGACACTAATGTTCATTCCTTGTAGTTCTTTTACTATACTGTGCACTTCCTTCACTCGGTTTTTGACATACTGTCCTGTGCCTTGACGTCGGAGGGAACTTTTTATCCAGTTCAGTACGATTTCCGAATCGGATAGGAGAATGACCTTAGTAACCTGGATCGCAGTTTTCAGACTTAAGTAGGTGTTCATGGTCAGCCGTGCTCCTATTGCGACTGCGTTCATTTCCATTTTCGGTACTGTAATTGGATGTTTGTAGTCTGCAGATTTTGATTTTGCTATCAAAAAATTGGAGTCATTGTGCGTTGCCAAATATGTGCACGCCGTCATGGCTAACTTGCTAGCATCACAGTAAGTGATTAGTGCGTTAGTTTCTTCTTTTTGGTAAATCCTTCTGGGAATATTCTTGTAAAATGCGTTCATGCTCCTGACAATATTGCACCACTCTTCTTGCAGACTTTCGTCCAATGGTTCATCCCATGCATATTTTTCCTTCCATAGTCTTTGTTGGAAGTGTTTTGCTTTCACAAGAAGTGGGATGAGCCATCCGAAGGGATCATATACTGATGCAATCTGTTGAGCGACTGTCCTCTTGCTGATGAACTCATTCGGTTTGATTTTCACGTCGATAGCGAATTCGTCAGTTCTCGGATTCCATTGTAATCCAAGTATTTTAGGTGAATGATTTGTCGACTGATCTTCAGTTCTGATTGCATTTGTAATCTCGCTATTATTGGAC